CCCCCCAGCCCTGAGCATGAAAGGTGTGGTTCTGTCCAAGTTGATGCTGGCGGGTTAGCACAGAGCTGGGGCTGGGAGGAAGCAGCTAACCTGCACCCAGGACCCCTCTTCTGTGGCTGGGGTGCTCTCCGGGGTCCCCAGAGGCTGTGCACTCAACGTCTCCAGGTATGGGGGTCCCTGTGCTCCATACACGCCCACACCCCACATTTGGAGCCCTCTACTGCACAACCCACCTATGTCATTGCATCCTCAGGGTGCAAGTCTCCATGGAGAAGGCACCGGGCCCCTCTTGGGGTCAAGGCACCTGTTAGCAGGTCTGGCCTGGCAGGGGTGGGGGCAGTGATCCCCAATGGGGACCCACACACACACCCATCTCTTCCTGATTCCTGCAGTTGCCATTTTCGGAGCAGAAGTATTCTCTCCCAGCCCAGATCTGGGGCGAAGCTGGGGTAGGGGATGGAGAGAGTGACAGGTCCCTACACCTGGGGGACCTACACAGTGGACTCAGCTCACAAGGCACCTTGGGCATATCTGGGAGGCCCAGGCTGACACCCACCTGAGCCACACCGGTGACCAGAGCCTGCCCTGGCCAGATTGCCTGGTGGGCCCAAGGTCCTGAGCCTGGGTCTCAGATTGCTCTGTGGGGCTCAGTCTGGGGTGAGTCTTGGCCAGGAGGGATGACGGCTAACCCCAGTTGGTTTAGGATCTGAAGTCTGTGGAGGGCACAAGCAAGCCGTCCTCCCAGCCCCACTCCAGGAACCTTCAGCCTTGGTCCAGGTGTGCACCCTGACCAGCATCCCCTGGGGCCCCCCTGGAACAAGGCACAGGTAGATAGCCCCCCTTGAAGCCATCCCCATCCCCTCCATCTGCTCTTGGTGAACAGCCCTCTAGCCTTGGCGCCATGGGTTGAGGGAAGATGTCCTTGACCCCCTAGGCTCAATCACCTGCAGGGCTCAGGTATCCCGGCACACCCAGGGACCCCCTACTCCCAGCCCCATCTGAGACGCCACCGTGGGGGCTCCAGGGCCCATGATCAGCGCGCACGCGACGCCCTCTGCTGGCCGCGACTGGAAGTGCAGCCTGGTGTGACCAGCACTGTTGACTGGAGACGCCAGGTGGGAGAGGCGACCTGCCAGCTGTGCCACAAGCCCAGGAGAGCCCGAGATCTGGTAAACATGGCGGGTCCTCCATTGTCTGCTGACTGTGGCAGCAGCAGCTTCAAGCTGTGCCTGCACAACGGAGCCATGCCCCAGGTTGGTCCCCCACTGCCCCCGGCCAGGATGAAAGGACATCCTGAGGGAGGCAGCCCGCCTGCCAGTTCCACCCGGGTCTGGAGGAATCTGGGGGAGACCAATTGAGAGGAGGGAGGGCTATGTTCAGGCCAGCCAGGTGGCTTTCAGCAGGGGAGGTGGAAATCAAGGGGGTGCCCACCCAGGGCCGGCGCCAGGCCAGGCTGAGAGGCCCATGTCCGTGCCTGGGGCCAGCTAGATGAAGGTGGAGTCCAGAGGCCCGGTGTCCTGCTGGCTGAGAGCACGGGCCTCAAACAGCTGCTTGATGAGGGCAGATTTCTCCTGCTCCAGCTGCGTGATCCGTTCACTCTTGTCGGTCACCTCCTGGCAGGCGGGGGGCAGTCAGGGCCTGCCATGCTGCCAGATACCCCCAACACCCCTCCTGCGCCTCACCTGGGTGAGAAGCCGGTTCTGCTCTTTCAGCATAAGAATGGTCTGCTGCTGCCAGCTGGGGTCCAGGGTGGGGCCCAGGGGCCCTGAGGAGGATGAGGGCAGAGCCTGCAGAAGGGCATGGTCAGGCAGGTCTGGAGGTCTCCGGCTGAGCCTCCAGGACAAGCGTGAAGGGTGGCACCGAGCTGGGCCTGGACCCCAGCATGGGTGCGGGGTGGCCTGGGGCACTCACCCTGCCGGCACAGGCCGCAGCCAGCAGCTCACCCAGGCACCGGGCCACCTCCTGTACCTTGGGCAGCAGTCGCCCCAGTGCAGGGGGGCTCCCCTCAGCCCCAAAGTCCTGGAAGGAAAGCAGGGGAGGGGTGGTTAAAGGGCAGGTTACAGGCCAGCTCAGGCTCAGCCACTGTGCCATGAGGTTGTCCCCATAGGTGGCACTCCTGCCTCTGGAAGATACTGCTCAGAGTCAAGAGCGAGGGCTGTTGCTGGTGGGTGAGCATCACAGTGGCGGGGGCGGGGGGGTCCCCACACCCTGGGTGGAGGGACAGCCCCTGCCCGGGAACAGAGCACGGTGGGGGAGGGTCGGGCAGGTCACTCACAGCGCTGGTCTTGCTCTGGCCCAGCCGCTGGCGCTCCTGCACATGCTGCAGCTGCTGCAGGCACCAGTCGCGGCCCCTCGTCATCACCCGCAGGCCCTGCAGCAGCACCTCCTGCTCCTGCTCCAGCTGTGTCACCTGCTCCAGCTGCCAGACGCAGGGACCGCACGCACACGCGGGTGAGCATGCCCACAGTGCAGTCCACGTGCACCCACCCACACGTGCACAGCTATGCACGTGAGCGCTCGCGCCCCTGTATTGGGGGCACAGCCGCTCCCCTTGCGGGGGTCCCGCCCTCCCTCAGCCCTCCACCCCCAAGCTTCCCCAGGGACACAGACTCCGGGACCTCAGCACCCCTCCTGAGGCCAACTGAGCAGAAGCGAGCCTTAGGAAGCGGGTTGCAGAGGGGCCAAGCCTGTCGCCAGGGCACATTCAGGCCACCTTCCCCTGACAGGACCCTGGGCCACTCCTAAGGTAGATTCAAGCCCAGGTGGGGAGATAGGTTTAGAACTGACCCACGTTCCTGCCACAGGCCACCCCCAGAGCCCAGGCCTGGCTGCTCCCTCCCAGGCAGGAGGGTGGTCCATGAGGCCAAGCATGAGGGCTGAGTCCCGTCCTAGGCAAGACGGAGAGCCCCCTCATAGCCCCCCGGACCCCCACTCACCAGGTCACAGTCCACGCCATTGGTGATGGTGTGCCTCCGCCGTTCCCCTCGGGCACGGGGGGCCCGCCGGGCATTCCCCACACCTAGCTCCCAGGCCCTGCAGGCCACTGCACCTGCAGCACAGGCAAGGGGCTGGCTCACCTCCAGGCCTACCCAGTCAAGCTCAGCCCCGCAGCCTGGCTTCCAGGTCCGTACGGGGCCACACTCCCACCACCCCTGGCCATGCAAAGCCTCGGTCCAGGCCTGTATGCGTCTGTGGCCACCAGCAACTCAGAGCCTCTCTGGGCCCCTCCCCATCTCAGTCCAGCCCCAGGGTCTTGGGCAGCGGCCTAGCCTGGCCCATACCTTGCCTCTGCCTGGCTGGGATCTTGCTCCACTGGGTCCCAACCTGCTGCCACACACCTGCCTAGGGGGAGGGCCGTGTGGCTGCATGTCTGCACACACCACATACACGTACATACACATGTGCTGGGCGTGAGGTGTGTGAGGGCAGGAGCGTATTACCCAGCTCGCCTCTGCACCGCCAGGGCCCACCTCGGGCTCAAAGGCTGTAGGGAGTGAGTGGGCGGGGCCTCTGGTCTTCCCCACTCCTCTTCTCATAGCCCAGTTCTTTTTTGTTTGTTTGTTTGTTTGTTTGTTTTTCTTTTTTCTTTTTAAGTTTATTTTCATTTTTGTTGTGTACTTATTTATTTATTTTTTTTATTGTTAGTTTCAGGTGTACAGAACAATGCAATAGTTACCCTTTTCACCCTCACACATAGCCCAGTTCTTTAAGGGCGAGTCCATGCAGGCACAATGTGGGGGCGTGGGTGGCGGAGACCTAACCTTTCCCAGGCAGGTGATCACAGTATTGTTAGTCCTAGGCCTATGTGCAGACGCAGTGCACTCAGCAGATGACTGAGGAGCCTCTGCAGCTCACACATCCACCTGCAGCTGGAAGGCCAGGGCTTCCCTGTGATAGCCTCCTGGAGGGCCAGCTGGCTTCCTTGGGGGATGGGGGAGCACTGCAGGGCCCCCCAGGAGGGGAGGAGTGGGGCCCAGGTGTGGAGGGCACCCTCCCCTGGCTTCCTAACCTTACCCATCACACCAGACTCATCTTCAGAGGCCACGTCCCTGGCATCAGGCAGTGGGAGTGGGAGGGTGATGCAAGCAGAGGTACAGGTGCGCCTCGCAGGGACATGTCCAGAGGGGTGGCACAAGGTGCTTTGTGGCCTGCCAGCCAGCCCTGGCAGACAGGCTCCAAGCAGGCCCAGAGTTCACATTCCAACCTGCCATGTGGCCGGCAGAGAAGGTACAGGCGGGGGGGGGGGGGGGGGGGGGGGATGGACGAGGGGACACACCAGAACAGCTGCCCAGTCTTTACTATCAAGTCTGCAGAGCAGCTCCCAGGTCCCCAGATGACAGCACACTGGACATCCAGCTAGATGACCAGCAGGCAGACAGCCCTGCCCCCATCAGGCCTGAGCTAGCAGCCTGTATCTTCGGTGCCCGCGCCAGGCTGGGGTACACACTGAGCCCCAACAGGCGACAAAGAAGGAGGGCCTGGACCTCCGGGGACATGGGGGGCTCTGTGTATGTGTGGCTTTCTCTTCCTGGGGAGCTGAGAAGGGGGATCTCAGAGCTCCAGATTTGGCACCCCAAGAGCATGTCACATCCCTTGTCTGGGCCTCTGCCTGTAATAGGCAATAGTGAGAACCCTGGCCTGAGGCTAACGCTGCCCCATGATGGGTCACGGGGCTGGGCCATATGGCAGAGGCTGGGGTCCAGCGAGGCTGGCAGAGTGGAGACCAGCACAAAAAGGGTGGAAGCTGCCACGGTGGAAGGCCCCACACAAGCCATAGGCAAGACCTATTCCCAGGACAGGCACTGGGGGCCATTCAGCTCCATTCTGTCTCTGCCAACTAGACCAGAAGCCAGGCGGGCAGCCTGCTGGCCATTGCCAGGGGCTGTGGTCTGTGTTCCTCCCCAGCGTCAGTGGTGGCTTAGCCCCACAGGCCTCTAAGACCCACCCGCCCCTTTGAGCTTCCTGGCAACCCAGCCAGGTCCTTCTGCCTGCCCTGGCTTCAGTGGGGGGCAGTGGGCCCAAGGCTCCTGGCCCAGCTGTCAGACTGAGAAGGACCCAAGAAGCCAGTGAGGGCCCCCCACCAGTCTGGGGGACCCTCTCTCATCTGCACTGGAGGGAAATGCCTCTGCCTAAGCAGTCACCAGCGACGAGACCCATGGGCCAGGTGTCCCTAGGTGTGGGGCAGGTATTGGAGGTGGAGAACCCCCTCACACCAGGCAGGTGTCCCCAGTGCCCAGCTCATGTTTGGTACAGAATGGGTTCCTGGTGGGGTTTCCAGAGTCACCCACCAACCCCTGGGCTCTGGTGGCCTCACGCTGTGGTGGGGGAAGGGCTGGCCTGCCTCTTGCCCCGAGTACTCTGGGACAGGTAAGACGCCTTTTTCCCTCCAGGCCTGGAGCCACGTCCCAGGCTCATGAGCCCACCTAGAGCTGCCCGCCCCCGTGTCCCGGTGGGAGATTCACGGCCGGCACTCCTCAGGCTCCGGCCTCAGGTGCAGGAGGGGGAACGCTACGAGGCCAGCCGCCCCGCACTCACCAGAGTCCGCGCTCGGGCTCCGCTCCAGCGCCGCTCCCTGCGGCCGCTCGGGCTCCGCGAGGCCGGGCGCCGCCTCCGCGGGGCCGCACAGCTTCTCTAAGCTCCGGGCCGCGCCACCGGGGCCGGCCGCCGGAGGGCGCGCGCCCAGTGGCAAGGGTTTTCTCTCCAGAACCGTCCGCGGCTCGTCTGCCGGAGCGAACACCAGGCGCTGTGGCGGCGGCGGCGGCGGCGGCTGGCTCCCTGTCCGCGTCGGGCCGCCTGCCCGGGCCGGGGCGCGCGCCGGACCCCGCGGGCCGCCGTCTGCGCTCAGCAACGAGGTGCGCAGGCCGCTCACGAAGCGCTCGAAGGTCAGGTAGCCGCTGGCTGGAGCCACCTGGCGCAGGCCCTCGAGCACACCGCGGGGAAGCTCGCTCGCGTCCGCGTCCTGCCAGCGGGACTCGATCTCGCGCAGGTGCACGTAGCCGCGCCGTCGGTCGTCCAGGATATCGAAGAGGGTGCGCAGGCTCTGCAGGAAGGCGCGCGGCAGTCCCTCGGTGCTGGGCGCCGCGGGCAGCCCGCGGCTGGGCTCGGCCATCGCGGCTCCGGTCATGAGCCCGCCGGCGGGCTTCGTGCTGGGCTGGGTCCCCGCGTGCGCCCTGCCTCTGTCCCCCAGCGGCCGGACCGCAGAACCCGGCCGGCACAAGCAAGTGGTCTCACGACAATAGCTGCTACTTTTTGAATGGACCTCCTCGTGGCGTCAGCGCTCATTAGCATTCGCGGCTGCCATAGGCCGAGGCTGGCCCATCTCCTTTCCGATTGGCTGAGAGGCGGTTTGATTTTTTCCGGCCGAGGGACCAGCACTCTGGACGCTCATGCCGCAGTGCCGGGAGGGGCGGGAGGCGCGCGGAGACCCAGGGCTGGCAGGGGCGGGGTACGCCCACTGTACCTCCCTCCTGGACTCGCAGGGTGGGGGAAGGAGCCCCGAGCGGACCCCCCTCCCGCTTCCCCACGCCCACCACACCAACCCTCTCGCTGCGGCTCAGCCCTTTCTCGGATAAGCCTCCGGCCCACCTCTCCGAGGGGCGGGGCCTGGCGCCCAACACAAAACCTGTCCCCAGGTGGCCTTGTGAGATGGGGAGCACACCCCCTCCAGGGACCCATCTTCCCCCTCTAGTTCCCCTGGGCGCTTTTCGCAGAGGGTCCACGGGCACAGAAACCGCCAACCCTGGGGCCCCTTTCTCTTGCGCCAGGCAGGTCCCAAGAGGATTGTGGGCTCCAGCCAGCTGGGCGCTTCCCCTCACAGAGGCCTCACTGTCCCTACTGCTGCTTGCTCCTCCCCTGGTCCCTGGAGACAGCCTGGCCTTTTCTGCCTGCTGCAGGACAAAGCTACTTTTTCCTGTGTCCCCAGATCCCCATCTGGTGACCAGTTCTCCTTGGCTCCCAAGGTCCTCTGCTCCAGCCTCTTCCTCTGGCTGGACACCTCCTCCAGCTGCTCTCCTGGCCTCCTCAGGCCAGCCAGGCAGACCTGTTTCCCACCACCCCCGCGGGCGGGGGTGGGGGTGGGGTGGGAGTCCCTACTGCCTTTCCAGCCGGGATCCAGTCACTCTTTCTGGTCAGTCTGGGAGGGCCCCAGGGTTTAGCCTATGGTCTGGCTCTGGGAGCCCATCACAGGACTGACTGACCTGACGGGACCCTCCCGAAGCCAGGGAGCTGCCTAAGATGTTGTCTGCCTGGAACTCCCTGCCTTCATTATTGCTTGTCCTCCAGGCTCTGCCCTGGTCCCCATCCTTCCCCCCACATTATTCCCAGACATCCCCATGCCACCAGCACCTTGCCATTGAGCACTGACCATGTGTCATCTGCTGCTTTCTGGGCAGATTGTCCATCTGCAGGGATAAATCAGAAGAGTTGCCAGACACCTCCTTTAGACAGGCCCCCAGCACCGGGTTCACCTTGGCTCTCTGGCTGGCCTCCCTCGGGTCCCTCTTGGGTGGTCTGCAGACCTGGGCCTCTATGTCCTTGGGCCTTAAGGCATTGGTGCCTGTATCTCAGTCTGTAAGGGCGGTTGCCCTGGCCAGGGAGTATCCTGGGTCCACTTCTCCCCTGGAATTACCCCTCAAAATCAGGGCTCCTTAGTGGTAAGAAATGTGCAGGGACCTAGAAAGCTGTGAGCTTAGAGTCACCACATAGAGCCTGGTCTCTCCCTGGCTTCCCCATTTAGTGGCAGGGCCAGCCAAAGTCCCAGGACAGCATTCAAGCCATTCAAGCATGTCCTGTGGTTCATCTCCCCGCTGTCCACATACACTCTGCTCCCAGCACCACTTCCTGGTCCCCCATGCTTGGGCATTCCTGAACCTCTGGGCCTCTGTGTGGGCTGGCCCTCCCACCAATAACACCCTGCCCTGTCTGCTCCTAGCTGATCACTGTTCATCCTTCAAAACTCCGCTCAGGAACCTGACCCACCTCCAGGAGGTGGGTCCTTCAAAGCATGGGGCTACTTTCTTCTAGGTAAGGTGGTTGTCTCCCCACCAGTCCCTGTGCTCCTTGGGAGCAGGGCCAGGCCACCCCAAGGCCTTGCATTGGCCTGGCTCACAATGGGTGCTCAATGGATGGCCAGCACACAGGATATCTCATCTTGGAGGTCACCACGGGAAAACCATCCTTGGGTGGGACATCAAGCCAGGGTGAGGCCTGTGGGTGGGGAGGGCTGGGGACAGCTCTGTGGGGGTTAGTGTGGGTGTGGAGGCCAGTGGCCAGCAGCATGCGACGCTACTGGAGCTCAGGACAGCACGGCCAGCAGTGCCCAGGCTGGGCCAGTGCCTCTGTGAGTCTGAGCTCACCATGCAGAGGAAACAATGGCTTCTCAGAGAGTGTGAAGCTGTGCGGAGGCCGTCTCCTGCTGCCCCTTGGTCTGTGGGCTTCCCTATGGCCCCTGGCTAGGTGCTAGAGAAACTGGAATTGGTGCCAGCGCTAGGCATGGGACTAAGGTGTGGCTTGCATGTCCTGAATTCTGATCACTTCCTCCTTCCAGACCACTTCCAAGCCTGGCCCAACACTTTCCCAATGCTGTAGCTTTCAACTTTGCTGTCACCCCTGAGGGGGCTTCTCAGAACCCCAAGCCAGGTGGGTCCCCTATGGACCCTGTACTTTTCGAAGCACTTATCCCAATTGTAATTACATTCTCACTGTGCCAGCCTGGAGCTCCCTGGAGGTGGGCAGGGGGACTGGGCCCTTCTGTCCCCTGCCTAGCACTGGGCATGAAGTGAAGAATGGGCAACTGCCTCCCAGTCCCTAAGCCTGTCTCATGGTTCTCTGATCTACACTCCTGTAATGACAACCAGGGACCTGTGGTGGCCTCTGGCCCTGCTCCTCTGAACCCTTTGGATGAGGTCCTTGGGCAAAGGGAAGGTGACGCCTTGGCCACAAGCCTGCGCTTGGCAGGTGCTCCAGGAAGTTGTCACCCATCTCTGCCTCACTGGTACTCACCTGCCTGCACCCCTGCCTGCCCAGGTGGGCCAGGTTCCCTCTCTTGGCCCTGCATTTGCCTCTGGCTACACAGCCCCGATTGTCCAAACCCTTCTGATGTCGGGCCCACCACCACCTTGAGACAGGATTCAGGGGTCACCCTGAGTTCATGTTCTGACACCTGCCTTCAGGCGTATGTACAGGGATGATAGGGTTTCCATGGACTTTGTCCTGGGGTGTGGAGCCCGCTTTTCTCCTTGATTCCCTACCTCCCACACACATCTGCCCCAAACTGCCCTTCAATTGCCACAAACTATTGGAGCAGACCATTCATTCATTCATTCATTCATTCATTCATTCATCAGCAAGCACTCCCTGAACACTTGCCATGGCCCAGTCACTGTGCTGGGCTTGGGATCCAACACTCATTCATTCAGTCAACAAGCTTTAACCAACTGCTTCCTGTGTGCTGGGCATTGATCTATGGTGATGGGCAGAGCAGTGAACCAATAACATCCATGTCTCATGGAGTATACTTCTCGTGGGGTGGGGTGGGATGGGGGGGTGTATTTGGACAGTGGAAAATGTAGAAAGGGAGCTGATATGACATGACCTGGGAGGGTCTCCCCAAGGAGTTGACACATAAGCAGAGGCCTAGCAAACTGAGGCAGAGAGTCATGTAACTTTCTGGGAAAGAACAGTTGTCCAGACAGGAGGAACAGCAAGTGCAAAGGCCCTGAGGCAGGCTTAAAACCATCCTTGGAAAGAGAACTCCTTTCAGGTCCACAGAACTTACAGTGGGCCCCCAGCAGGCTGTGAAGCTCTTCCTCCTAGCCCAGAAAGGGTGTATGTGGGGGAGGAGGCTCTGTGCAGAGCCCACCTACAGGGGAACACAACTGCCTTAACAAGAGGTAGCTGGCGCCCACCTAAGGGACAGGTTATTTTTCATTTTGGGTCGTAAAGCACCATTTAAATTAGTTTTAACTATGTGCATGCATTATTTTTAGACTTAATAAAACTAGTTTCTAAAAGAAAGTTTTGTCCCAAAATGTCTGAAGCTACTTTCACATTCTTCACAAATTCATAGACAGCGAGATATTTTAAAACCTGATGGTTAAAACAACAAAGCAGGGCAAAGGGCCACTCCTGGGGGGTTCTGGTCACAGGGCAATGGGAGAGAGGAGGCCGTAAAGGAGGGATCCCCCAAAGATGCAGGGTGGCCTTCTTGGGCCTTGGTGACATCCAGACACCTGGCCCTGCAGCTGACCTGGGTCCACCCTCCCCAGCCCAGCCCTGAGTCTGGCCTCTTACGGGACTATGGTCCCTGCCACCTTGGCGTCTTGGTAAGCGCAAGTATGGCCACGTGCAACCGCAGACCCTAGCCTCCCCCTCGGGCACCCTCACCTCTCAGGGCTGTGGGTAGAGGGGGTGTATTAGAACTGGAGTCAGTCCTCATGCTCCCTGACTACGGGGATCGCAGAACCTGCGGGGAAGGGCTCCCTGCCCGAGGAGCCGCAGCCCCTATCAGGCGTTCCTGGCGTACAGGTTGAGATCTGCCACCCAAAGCTGCAGGAGCAACCCCCGAGGTCCGGCTGCGCGGGCACAGGAGCTCGGGGGCGGCGCCGGGGCGGAGTCGAGGCGGAGCCGGGTAGGCCGGGTCCCCGGCAGAGACGGGGCGGGGCGCTGGGGCCGGCACCGCCCGCGGGGTCCCGTGACGCGGGTCCGAGCGCGGGTCACAAGTGCCAACGCGGCTGACAGCGGCGGCAGCGACATGGCATCGGAGCGGGACGTGCGCGCCCGGCTGCAGCGCGCCGGCCAGGAGCATCTCCTGCGCTTCTGGGCCGAGCTGGAGCCAGGGCCGCGCGCCGCGCTGCTGGCAGAGCTGGAGCCGCTGGAGCCCGAGGCGCTGCGCGAGCACTGCCAGCGCGCGGCCGCGGCCTGCTTGCGCCCCGGGGGCCCTCCGCCCGACCTGGCCGCGCGCCTGAGGCCCCTGTCCCCCGAGCGCGTGGGCAGCGCGAGCCGAAGCGACCCCGAGACTCTGCGGCTCTGGGAGGAGGAAGGTAGGCGGGGCAGGAGGCCCGGGCGGGGCGAGGGTCCCGGTAGTGGGGCGCTCCTGGCCGGCCGGAAGGGGCTGTGCCTACAGACGGGACAGAGCAGAGGTCGTGCTCTCAGAAGTTTAGTTTGCCTTATTACTTTGTGAAGTCTCCTGCCCTCTCACACGCCCCAGCTCGCGACTGGGGTGGGGATCCCCGTAAACGCTGTGGAGCTGGCAGCGGCCGCCAAGCCGCTCACACCTGGATGGCCAGTGCCTAGCCCGCAGGAGTATTGACAGCAGGGCACCCCTTGCATACTTGTGTCTGCTTCTTTTCACGCCAGCGCTGGCGGTACACGCCTGGCCTCTTGGTCCGGAGGTTAGGCAGGTGCTCCCCGAGGAGAGTCTGCTACGCTCTCCCCCCATCCACATCCCCATCCCCATCCCCATCCCCATCCCCACCCCCACCCCCCTACAGCTGGAGGGGCGGGGCTAAGGTGCGCGGCACTCGCAAAGCGGACCAGTCAGACCCCGTGTTCCCGCTGAAGGACCCAGGTTAAGAATGAACCCAAGAGGACGTCATCAGAACCTTTGAAGTGTCCTGGCCCAGATAAGATAAAAATGTTATCTAGAAATTTCTGTTCCGTGGCTATCAAGTCTTAGTCCTGACGTAGTTTGGCTTGCTCTAAAGTGAAGGGGTGGTTGTGTAGCAGTTCCAGGCGTCGCCTCATGCCACCCCACGCCCCCAGGTTTCCATCAGATCGCCCTGAACAAGGTGGCTGTGGTGCTGCTGGCTGGAGGACAGGGCACTCGCCTGGGTGTGACCTACCCTAAGGGCATGTATCAGGTGGGGCTGCCCAGCCAGAAGACCCTGTATCAGCTGCAGGCAGAGCGGATCCGGCGGGTGGAGCAGCTGGCTGACGAGCGCCATGGGACCCGCTGCACGGTGCCCTGGTGTGCCCTCTCTGCATTACCTTGGCCTCAGAGTAATCCCCGCCCCTGTAGCCCCAGCCCTGTCCTACACCAGGATTTAAACCCCAGCCCCAGCACAGCCCTGGACAGAGCCCAGCATCCACCAGACTGGACCCTGATGCCAGCCCCTGCCAGAGACAGCCCCGCCTGCCAGAAGGGCCACGCCCCCCTGAAGGCCGACTCCGCCTTGACTCCGCCTTGCCTCCCCTCGCAGGTACATCATGACAAGTGAGTTCACGCTGGGGCCCACAGCCGAGTTCTTCAAGGAGCATGACTTCTTTCACCTGGACCGCAACAATGTGGTCATGTTTGAGCAGCGCATGCTTCCTGCTGTGACCTTTGATGGCAGGGCCATCCTGGAGCGGAAAGATAAGGTGGCCATGGCCCCAGGTATGCCCCCCCCCCCTGAGACAGGGAGGGACTGGGTGGCCTGGAATAAGGAACTAGCTAGAGGTCAGGAGGCCTGGGATCGAGGCTGGAATGTGCTGCCTGGGGGCTGTGTGGCTCTGGGAGAGTGGCCTCCCCAGTCTGGGCCTTGATTTCCATCTGTCATGTGGAACCACAGGGCTACTTGGATAGAGAGAGCTGCCTCAGCCCCCAGGGACATTCTGTACCCGCAGCTTGCCTGGACTAGCTGGCTGAGGCCAGGCTGGAGCCCTCACAAGGCCCATCCCTTTCTCCTCCTGCAGATGGCAACGGGGGCCTGTTCTGCGCGCTGGCGGACCACCAGATTTTAGAGGACATGGAGCGTCGAGGAGTGGAATTTGTGCATGTCTACTGTGTAGACAACATCCTGGTGCGGCTGGCAGACCCCGTCTTCATAGGCTTCTGCGTGCTGCGAGGTGCTGACTGTGCCGCCAAGGTGGGCCGCTCGCCCCTGGGCCCCGCCCTACCGGGTCCCATCCACCGCCCCCTATCCCGGGCTCCGCCCCCGTCCCTCCGGGCCCCGCCCCACCTCGCCCATCTGTCGCGGCTGCAGGTGGTGGAAAAGGCTTACCCCGAGGAGCCCGTGGGCGTGGTGTGCCAGGTGGACGGGGTCCCGCAAGTGGTGGAGTACAGCGAGATCAGTCTTGAAACCGCGAGGCTTCGCGCACCGGACGGAGGTCTGCTGTACAACACAGGCAACATTTGCAACCACTTCTTCACGCGAGGCTTCCTCCAGACAGTCATCAGGTGTGTGCAGCAGGCCGCCAAGCGCTGGCCACAGTGACTGAGACCGACCTGAGCCGGGTGGGGCTGTGGTCAGGAGCTTGTAGGTGGAGAAAGTTTCGCGGGTGTAAAGAAGTGGGAGGCACCAGAGAGCCCAGCCGCTGGTGTAAGGCTCTGCTGCCAAGTTAGCCCGCCCCTCCCATGGCACCACCTCCGCCAAAGTTGCAGTTTCCCCCGGGCCGGGTTGTGGCCCATGGTGTCTGGCTCCTGGGCAGTGTGCTGGAGGGTGCCTATGCCCTCCCAGAAGCCAGGCTCAGCTCCTACCCCTCCGTATGCTGCAGGGCCCATCTGCCACCTGCCCCGCCTGGCCCCACCAGCCGAGAGGCGGGTGGGCTCTCTCAGGTGTTTTGTCTGAACTGCGTCTTTCCTTCCTTTGTCCTCCTGTGCCACTCTAGGGAGTATGAGCCCTTGCTGAAGCCACACGTGGCTGTGAAGAAGGTCCCATACGTGGACGAGGAGGGAAATCCGGTAAAGCCGCTAAAACCGAACGGGATAAAGATGGAGAAGTTTGTGTTTGATGTGTTCCAGTTTGCTGAGTTAGTGGCAGAAATCATTTATTTTTTCCTTCTTCTCTCCCCTGTTTTGGTGGTGGGTTCTGAGGCCCAGTTGGGCAGGGATGTGGAGGCTGAAGTGGGGGAACATGGTGGGAGTTGGGGGCTGCTGGCAGATCTTGGGGAGGAGGCCAGAGGAAGCAGCTCCTCTGGGTGGGAGCATGGGGAACACCAGGGGCTGTGGACATCCAGGTCCCTCCTGAGCCCTTTATCTGCTGTTTCCAGGCCATGTTGCTGGGGCCTCCCAGGGTGTTTGACCTCACTCTGGGGTCTCGGGGCCTAGGGGTTGGCTGGTGGGAATGGAAGGGAGGACTTGAAGCAGTGCGTGTGGGGCCCTCCCAGGCCCGCTGCTTATGGGACAGAACCCCCTCAGGCACTGCCCCCTGGCCTGGCCTTCCCCCGCCTGGGATGTTGGGCCACCAGCTCTTTCCCCACCAGGAACTTCATGGCCTTTGAGGTGCTACGGGAGGACGAGTTCTCTCCGCTGAAGAACGCCAGCTCGGCGGACAAGGACAGCCCCACCACAGCCCGGCAGGCCCTGCTCTCTCAGCACTACCGCTGGGCCCTGCAGGCAGGGGCCCACTTCCTGGACTCAAAAGGGGCCCGGCTCCCCGAGCTGCCCAGGTGAGTGTGGGCCCCAGAGTGCTGCCGGCTCTGCCATGGCCATGCACTGAACGCAGGTGGCCATGTGCCCAGCCACACAATGACCGCTGCCGCAGCCTTTTGGCCTGACCCCTCAAGGTCTGTTCAGGGCCCTGAGGGAGGCAGGGGGCTGCAGCTTTCACTAGTCATTCACAAGCTTTGAAACCAAGACCAGGCAGGATATTCAGAAAACAGCAAGGCAGGTCGCTTTTCAGGGCTGGAGAGGAAAGGGACATTAGGTTTTAATCTCTCCCAATTGTCTGCAGCCACCACCTAAGTCTGGAAGCCCAGGCTGTGTGCAGGATGCCTGCAGGGGCGGGGGGTGGCTTCCAGCCCAAATCAGGACTGTCACTCAGGCAGAGGCAGCTTGTTCAGGGCTCTGGAGTCCAGAGGAAGAGGAGACTACCAAGAAAAGGGCTGTGGGAGCTAGGCGTGTGGTGGTCATCCTGCTGGGCCAGGGAGGGACTGGACCAGCTCCCGTGATGGGTGCTGCTGGGGGATGCACCCCTGAGCACATGCTAACACCTGGGCTCCCTTAGCCTGCCTGGCAGTGAAGAGCTTCCCGCCATCTGTGAGATCTCGCCGTTGGTGTCTTACTCTGGAGAGGTGAGAGCTGCCTGGCTGGCTGGGGCTTTTCTGGGCTCAGGCCTATGTGATCAGAGCAGGACGGTCTGGGGAGAGGTGGGTCCTTAGGTAGAAAGTCACACCTCTGTCTCATTTTACCAATGGGGTAAGTATGCCCTTAAGTTGCAGAGGACCTTCCAGGACATGCGGGACGGGTGGGGTTGGGGTGGGGGTTAGTGAGGGCTGAAGCCCTCGCAGGTCCTGGGAGGGGCAGGGAGGATGGGCCAGCTGTGGTCTGAGTCGGGCCAGTTGTCTTTTGTGGGAGCCTTGCAAAGGGAGAAATGCTGGCTGGCCATTCCCCTCTGGGTCAGTGCTGGCCTGAGCTTGCCAGGGGGACTCATGCTGGCCTGTAGTCTTGAGGTGGCACCTGACCCTTTATCCTAGAAGCCCCTCCCCAGCTCTAGGCAGAATTGGGATGCTGCCCAGGGCCAAGACGTGGATGCTTGGCTTGTTTCCAGGGTCTGGAGGTGTACCTGCGAGGCCAGGAGTTCCAGTCCCCACTCATCTTGGACGAAAACTGTGTCAGGGCACTGCGGTCGTGACTGGCTCCCAGACCTGCTAACCCTGGAGTCTGCAGGGGTGGGGACATGGCTCCCACCTGGGGCTCCAGGGAGGGTGTTGTGTGTTTTCGGACCATGGAACACAAAAGGAAGAGAGCTGGTTTACTACATAGGAGTGGAACTTTTCCTGTCACTGGTTCCCATGGATACAAGCGACCACAGGCTTTCTGTGGGCCAGTGAGGAGTCTGTGGCTCCCATTCTTGGCTGTGGGGTCCAGATAGGAGGTAGAGGGACTCAGGACCTTGGACAGTGGGGCTGAGGGAGGTGTGGTGTCAGCAGGCCCTGCCTCTGTCTGAGCTAACATAGGACTGGACGGCCACTTCCCTATCCCACACTAAGATACCAGTGGGGGGTAGGGGCGCCAGCCATGCCCAGCTCTTCTGCAGATGTGCAGCTGAGGACATGAGAGGATGGGACACTGTCCTTCCCTCAGGGGATGACTTGTTTAGAGGAGGCTGCCCCCTGCCCCTGGCAGCTGAACCAGTAACTGGTATCAGGCTGGAGAGGTCACAGCTCAGCCTGCCCAGCTAAGGCTGACAACAGAAGGGGTCCGACTCCCCATCATAAAGGGTTGGCTGCGCCAACGAGAGCTGGCTCTCTGAGAAGCTGGGCCTGCACTCCTGAGACTGAATTCTCTGTGCCTCAGCCCATCAGTCACCTCAGCGGCTGGTTTAGGCTGCTGAGTTTTACGTACTTCCCACAAGAACTAGTGGGTCCAGTATAGGTGGCTTCCTGTGTTGGTGGATTAACCTGGAATTTAACCTGATGGGAGCACCATCCTGCCAGTAACTTCTGATCTTGGTGCTCACGCTCCTCCCCTGCTCTCTGGAGGGAGGGGCACAGCCTCCATATTTGGGGTCATGGCCCCCTCACTGCACGCCTGCAGCCTGGCCAAGGCTGGAGGAAGCCAGCTGGCCTTGGTCTCTTGTCCTGGCTTTGCTGCTCTGGGCCCCAGTGCCCCCTTTCCCCTCTGGACACAACACAGTAGCATCTACCCATCCCCACTGGTGTGACAGAGCAGCAGAAAATGCAGCCTGCTGTTAAATCGGGTCGCCTGCCCCCCACCCGACCCCACCCCCTGCAGCCCACATCCTGCAGGGAACCCACTGGGGAAGCATGTTATCTGGATGCTTGGTTCAGGTGCAGCAGAGTCTTCCAGAGGCTTGGAGTGGATGGTGGTTATAGCCACCCATCCCGACCTGGGCATGATAGCAGAGTCAGGGCCATGCCTGGGTCTCCCCATCCTGTGCAAACCTCAGAATCAAACCATGTGCCTAAGGATGCCCCGCTCAGCTGCTGCACAGGCGAGCAGCGGCCTAGGGCGAGGACAGCCTGCCCCGAGCTGCTCCTCGCTGCTGTGACTGTTACCAGCTGAATACCCTTTTCTGAGTTCACTGGGTAAACTATTGAAACAGCTTGCTTTTGAAAACATTTTATTTTGAAATAATTATATTTTAACATAAAGTTTCAAACCTCAGAGAGAGGCCCCAGCTCCCCTTCACTGAGTTTCCTGTGATGTTTGTAGCTTATGTGATTACAGGACATAGCACCAAACCAGGACACTGGTGCTCAGTCACTCCTCACAGATGTGGGTCCCTGTGTCCTCACTGCACCCTGGAGGCAGGATTATCCCACTACCACCAAAACCTCCTTCATGCAACCTTTGTAGCCACCCCCCACCTCTAACCCCAGACAACTGCCAATGAAGGAACTGAATTTTGAAAGATTGCCAAAGTCTTGATTTCCCCCCAAAGGGTGGGGGATTGCCAATAAACCCTATGTGCTGTGATTGACCCCCTGGCCTGACAGTGCAGTCTTGTGCAGCCTCTGACCAGCACGTGTGGTGGGAATAGCACCAGGAGTTTCAGCTGTGTCCATCCAAGGGCTGGAGGCCCTGTGGGAACAAGAGCCCTCGCACTGAGCCAATCCCAGGAATCCCCCCACGCCAGCTCTACCAGGGCTTGAGGGGAGCCTGCGACAACCTGGTGGGTCAGGCTCGGAACCAGCTCTCCAGGGTGGGCTCCTGCACTCAGCTCTGACAGCCTGGTGATGCCCCTGCACTTGCATCTTCGGGACTCCACCCGTTGCCTGGTAACCGGGGGTGCAGGGAGGGATGCACAAGGGCGCCTCTGGAACTACCTGCAGAGACCTGAGAGATGGCCCCTAGAAGGGAAAGGGGGCAGGTGCTTCTGGGGCTCAGGCCAGCCAGGTGCTGAGCAGAAGGCGCGCACAGCGAGGAGCCTCCACACACTGAGGTGTTACAGCCGGGGCTGCAGGTAGCAGTGGCTCACGCGTCCTGGAAAGGACCGGGCAGGGGGCTGAGCTAAGCAGATCGGCGGTAACCCTGGGCTGCTCGGCCGCTGAGAGAAAGCAGGCGCTGGGAAAAGTGCGGTGACCCTCAGTGCGCCCGAAGACCATCGGGTGGGATGGATGGAAACTTTGCGGGCCGTCCAGCCCCCGACTCTGCCGCAAAGTACGGGCGGGGTCGCCGTGACGGTGAGATCGAGCTGCTGTCCCCGACCCACGCATCGGCCCGGAGGGGAGGGCGCGGGGGATCGGTGCCGACGTTGCAGAGCGGCCCGGCCGGTCTTCATTGACCATAGGACCTCGGGGCAGCCGGGATAGAATATCGGGGAACCCGGGTAGACCAGCCAAAGACATACCCACTCTAAGGTGAGATGTACACAGGTGCGGGACGGCGCCAGCGCCGTGGCTGCGAAGTCACGGCGCAGGCGCGGGCGAGCGCAGACGCATGCGCTGAAGGACGTAAACACGCTTGTAGGAGCAGCGCGGATGGGCGCACGCGCAGTGGGGTTACGAGCGCGCGGCACAGGCGCATTGGCGGCGACCGCGATGGGCGGGGTGTTGCCGGCGCTGCGATGGCTGCTCGCGGGTGTCCGAAAAACAGAGCTTCTGGCCGCTCGCAGAGCCCGGCCACTTGACGCCGCCAGTGGGCGGTATCCCCCGGGCCGCTTCCGCCACTGTCATGTATCCGCCAGCGCCGCCGGCGCCGCATCGGGACTTCATCTCGGTGACGCTGAACTTTGGCCAGAGCTACGACGGCAGCAAAAGCCGGCGGCGCCGCTCGTGCTGGAGGGTGAGGTTGGGTCCCGCGGTTCCCGTCCCCGCCCGCCACCCCCACGCCACCAAACGCTCGTCCTGGCGCAGGAGCGGTGGTCCCGACCTGCACTCGCGTGGGGCCGGGCCCAACGGGCGGGATAGGGGAGGACGCCGGGCGGGGCGACCGGACCCCCAGCATTTCCTGGCTGCCACCGCGCAAAGCGGAATGAGGTTTCCAGCTGTAACTTTTTCACAGCTGCCATGAGCACGAGCACCGCCTGTTTAACCACCGGTGTGTTCCCGCGGGTCTCGGGCCACGGGGCGTCCCCACAGGGCATCTGGACAGACCCAGTCCCAGCCGGGGCCTGAGCCCGAACACGCGCATGGCGGGGTCTCTCTCCGCTGCCCACGGACTGGACAGAAGTGGCGTCCATGTCTGTTCTCGTCTTACGTG